ACACACACAAACACACACACACACACACACGCACACGCACACGCACACGCACACGCACACACGCACGCGCACGCACACGCGCACGCGCACGCGCACGCGCACGCGCACGCGCACGCGCACGCGCACGCACACGCACACGCACACGCACACGCACACGCACATCACACACACACACACATATATATATATATGTATGTATACATACATCTGGTATGTAGACCTATACCATGTTTCTTTACGACGTTTGGTTCTGCAAGGTGCGCTTGTCCCTTTGGCAGGTGGACCTCGGAGATGCCAGCAACAGCCGCTGGCTGGCTCAGAAACGGGGGTCCCTGAACAAGGACGGGGCATGAATTGAGTTGGGGTTTGGGGTTGCGGGTTTGGAGATGTGGGCTATTGGAGGGCTTTGGGCTTTGAGGGTTTGTGTATTCTGGACTTTGAGCTCTTTTCGGGCTTTAAGGGTTTGAGAGCGTCCAGGGTGTGGGTGGCTTGCAGGAAGTTCAGAGCCGGTACTTGCAAGCCCGGGACCCTTGACCCCTTCAACGTCATGCAGCAGACCTGCACTGCCATTTTACTGGGACGAAGGCGAGGTTTGGACACAGCGGAGAGGGAGAGTGGGGCTTTCGCTCATTGTAAGAATGAGGACAACAGCCGAACTAAGCTTGACAATTGTAGTCATCGTGGTCATAGTAGTGGTAGTGGTAGCGGTGGTGGTAGTGGCAATGGCAGCGGCAGCGGCAGTGGCAGTACCAGGAGTAGTCGTCGTCGTAGTAGTGGTTACATGAAACAGTCACAGTCCTGGTCCGATTGATACCAGACAGTGGCTGTCGCAGCTGATTCCGTGTTTTCGCGGCAAAAAGAAGTAGTCAGTAATATAGAAACCTGATTATGAAAGCTTAGGACTTTCTTCGGGCTCTCTGGACCAGGGTTTCATAATCAGGTTCCTACATCAGCAGTCGTTGTAATTCAGTCCGTAGCCGAGAGTTTCTCTGTGCTCCCCATCTGCACTTGACAGGACCAGCAGAGCAGGTTCTTCTCCAAGGGGTACCCGGGAGGTTGTGAGACATTCCTTTTTAGTCTGTTAGTAAATCCGTATCATTGCTGTTTGAAGTTTAGGAAAGTATAATTGTTATACCAAATTCAGATCAAACCTTGAAGTCTTCCGTCATCCACGGTTATGACAAAGTTGAAGGCACCCTGGGCTTCTAATTGTCCTTGGCATCAAATCGGGCAGTAAGCTCCGCAAAGAGCAGCATGCCCTGCTGGTTGGGGCAGCGCAGCCGGACGGGATCTGCAAATTTTTCTTGTTTTCCTTGATCCCGGAAGTCTTGGCTTTCTCCGGACTCCCTTCAGTCTTTCAGCCCTAAGGTACATCGTTGCGAACCCTATCAGTTTGCTTCCCATGCGCCTGGATATCCAAGCCGTGCAGACGCTGATGCTCATGGATAGCATGGAGCGCGTCTTGGAGCACGAATCCCGCTACTATGCGAGTTTGAGTGTCTGCTGGCCTCCTCGGCAAAATTTTGGTTCCGGTCGTCAGGTCCGATCCCAAAGAATGAATGTGCCGAAGAATCGGGTCCTAAACAGCAGGATCCCTCTGTACTCGCCCTTTTTGGGGTTTCGTTGGGTTGTATTCAACTCCATGTAGCATGGCTGTCTGTGGAACGTGGAATGCACGCACAAGGGTGGCATGCGGAGGGCAGAGCGTTTATTCCGTATGCCCGGCTAGGAACTGGGAACCGGGAGTAGGTAGATTGCAGGAGGAAGCGTCTGAATCTGTGCCTTTTGAGATACCCGTCGGAGGTAGTTGTCGCTGGGGACTTCAACGTGCCGCCATATTATCCGCAGATGTCCTTCGACCTGTTATCCAAGCACATCGCCCAAGAGGGCGACTTTGACCAGATGGCGACCACCGTCATGTTCCTGGGCAGCACTTCGCGGACTGTCGGGACCAAAACCTGAAACCTTGCGTTTTGAAGGCTGTGGAGTTCTGCTTGCCATGCCCGATACATCTTTCGGAAGATGAGGATGCAAAGCTTAGAATGAATGAGAATAACATCCACGGCCGAGCTGTTTGTCTGTTGTTTTACGGCGATGATACCGACGACGATATGTACTGCTACTACAGTGGTAGCAGCAGCAGCAGCAGCAGCAGCAGCAGGCGGAGTGGTAGCGGTGAGGGTGGTGGTGGCGGTCGTGGTGTGCTGAAAGCGTAACAGCATCAGTAGCAGGAGCTGTAGTAGGAGCTGCAGCAGCAGCAGCAGTAGCAGCAGCAGGACGAGACGCAATAGTGGTGCGAGCTGCTATAGTACTGGTACTGCGCCAGAGCCTTACCCCTGAAGGCAAGGTGTTGCGAGCGGCAAGTTTCAAACATTTGTGGACCCAAACTCCGAGCAGCAGACCATCGCCAGTCCGGTGTGCCGTAACTGCACTCATGGGTTTCGTGATCCCTTGGGTTTGAGCATTCTATCAGGTTCTATTCGAACAGTCAAAAAATCCGCATCATGCAAAGCCTGCGTGGACATGGTCCTCTTGTTTTGGCTTTCGGTCTAGGGCAATGCGACCGCGCGGCGCTGTTGTGGACTGGTGGCTTTCCACCATACCCTTTCAGAGCCAGCCTTGCCTCAGCTCCACTTATGAACACTTTGTTGCGGGAGCCCGATAGGCCGTCAACTCTGGCGGTGTGGAGGTCACGGAGATCGTAGAATCTGTAGCCGAACAGGCGACCTGGCGCCATCCTTCGGAGCCCCGTGCGGCCCCGAAAGCAAGTGGTGCGCGCGACGGCCTCTGACGTCGGAGCTGCGGTCACTGTCGGAACAAGCAGGCGCTCGACAGCCGATCCTTGCCACTCCAATGCAAAAACGCCCGCTATCTCCCGGAGACAAAGGGCGGAGCGTGCCCAATTCGGACTGTATCGTTGAACGAAGTAAGCAGCAATCACTGGGGACTAGAGCTCGACTGGTGATGGAATAGTGGTAGTTTATTGTGTGAGCTGGGCATCGACTTCAGACTCAGCTGTAGCCAGAGTCCAGAACGTACCGTCGCGAGTTTGAACTCGAGGAGCCGCTAACTGAAGACACTTCCGCCCGCCATCCTGGTCGAGTTCGCACATGTGTGGGGATGGCCGTTTTTCCCTTTAGCAGTGGGCAACCGACTCCGGTGAATGACTCAGTCTAAAATTATTGAGGAGATTAAATTTTAGATTAACCGACCATTTAAACAGAGTTGTTAATTTAAATGGGGTGGATATAAGCTTTACAATAACATTCTTTAGAGGTTAATAAATATCTATGTAGAAATAATAGACTATGCTAAAAACGAGTGGTGAAGAAGTTGAAGAGGTCAAAAATGAAGAAGCTACTGAAATAAAGACTAATGAAGTTATTGAAGACGAACCCAAAGAAGACACTAAAGAAGAAACTAAAGAGTTTTTTAAACTTGTTGTTGCGGATAAAGAAGTGTATTTAGATGGTATTAGCTGGAGTGTTGCTTGCACCCCATGTGGTTTGCCGGGGTTCTGGTTTGATGCTTCCCCTGTGAAACGGTGTCCTTTCAGAAACAGAGTGTGAATCCCGTTCTTCATCCTTCTAAGTCGCGCTATGATGTCCGTATGCGTGCTTCATCGCAAACTTGCTTCTCCTTGGCTTGCTGCCTGATGTGTCTCTCTACGTTTCAGAAAAGGTCTGTGTTTTGGCCGCCCTGCACCGAGAAGCGCCCGGAGTTCGATTGAGGTAAGTTCAGCACACCTAATTGCATCCGCGTGCCTCCGAGGTACGAGCTCATCACGAAAGGCGTGTTGGGGCAAGACTCCATCGGCTTTCTCGTGGCAGCCATCAAATCAGCTGGATACCATCCATCACGGATTTTGGAAGGACCACGCGTGACGTTTGGGACCTGTCTAAGTCTAAGTAAGAGAGGCTTCACGTAGGGTACCAGTGGAACCTGCCAGGACCTTTGTACCAGATGCTGACGACAAAGTGGTTGAAGTATCAGATGATAAGCGCATATGCGCATGTTCTTGGAACGGAGCCGATGACCAATGCACTGGAGACCTTGGATTTCGTGCCGGGAGCTGAGCAAACAGAGACGCATTCAGTACATGCTCGAAACCCGAAAGCTAACCTATCGCATCTAAGACACTCTGCCGGAAGCGTCCGAGCTGTGAGATCCGAAACCTCACCGGCAGCCATTGAAAGTGGGGCTTTGCCATCCACTCGCCAGGTTCTTCTTGCCCGCACAGCGGCGACCAGACCATTCGCGTGCTGCCAGATTAGCAGTGACAGGCAGGAGATGCAGGAGCATGGCCCACAAGTGTAGGGCAGAAAGGTGGCGTGCAAATTGTGATTCTTTACTCACAACGCACCTGCTGCAAACCCAGACGCTTGAGAACTTGTGCAGGTGTCCTTGCAGCTCCCCCGCCGCAGTCCAGACAGAAACTGGTTGCCGGCTTGGGGTCCGATCACATTCCTTTGGTGGTGGATGTCGGGCTTTGCACGCCAATTTCGAAAAGTGGCGAGGTAGAATCCCAGCGCAGGGAAGACAACACTACATCGCCCGTGGTCAACATCCCCCACAGCCCACCGTCCTGCGATAGTTCCAGAGAAGAGAGGATTCTGGAGATGTTGGCAAGCTTGGAACATCGCTTAGAGGCCCTGGATTCAAAGGTTTCTAGACCTGGCATGCTAGTGGAGCTCAAGTGGGCATTGGTTGCATCGACGCTCGGTTCGGTCCTTTTTGCAGCTTCGACAATGCTGCTTGGTTCAAAGTTGGATTCGTTGCATCATCATCCGGCAGGTGCTGCAGATTTGCATTTCAGAACCAGCTTCGGATGTCCTTGTTCAGCATGCTCACGTGTTAGATCGACAGCATCTTCCAATCCTTTTCGGTGTCAACTGTTGGCTTGAATCAGGTTGCTTGGAGCGACATCTGCACTCGTGAGACAAGCGATGACGGGATGTTTGTTGGCATCTTTACTCTACCAAGGCTTCTTAGCGTCAAAGATCTGAATTGTAAATTCGCATGCCGGATGACATGTGTGGGGGCCTTCGCGAGCCTGGGACGAGATTAGCAACAGCTCACCATCTTGCAGAAGTTGCACAGACACAGTACTGTAGCATACTGTAGCGTAGCGCCAATCGTTGGTTATCGCATGGCTTGCGCACGCATGCGGGTTGTCAAAAGGAGCGTCCCAGACAAGGGAACCACATTTGGCGCAGCCCTGAAACGTTAATGAAATTCGATGAGCGTGAAGCTGTTAATGTAGGTTCAGGTTGCCGAATCCGGCTTCCTAGCCCTTGTCTCTGACATCTACTGGAGATGCTTGCGGATGCATGCAGCGGATTAAGCGTGCGATCGAGGGAGGGTTGAGGTTTTAAAGCCAGGTGGCATTTACACTCCACTCGCAATGGGCTTGCACAGTCTCCCCAGAACCAGCACGAGCCGTAATCTTCCTCAAAGGGTCGACAAGTCGTGGTGCAGCCGTAGGCCGGAACTCAGACGCGCGCAGTTGGTTCTTCAAATCGCCATGAGTTCTGACTCTTGTATTTCGGTACGCCACCGTCTTTGGTCTGAACAGTTGTTGGAAGGACAAACGGCCGCAGCTTCAGCCCAGTCTCAGTATTGTCACATGATGGTTGCGATGGTGTTCTACATCGAAGCACAGACACTTGCCAGCCTTCCAACCCAATTATAATTCTGGACGTGCGGCTCATATGCTCCTAGACAACAGGGTATGCATGCTTTTGACCTGAATGGAATTTGGTGGATTTCTGGAAAAGTGGCGCGGCCCGGCTGCAAGGAACCATCTCAGCCGAAAAGGCACCTGGACCTGGGTCGCGGGGGCTTCCTATGTCTTCCCACATTTCGAGATCATCTCCAGCAGAGGGGCAGGCAATAATACAACAAGCCTTACTTTCGCAGTCGCAGTGCCTCGCCGAATCGTGTGCTTGTTGCAGTGAGGCGAGTACCTGAACGGAGATGCACCTCGAACAGACTCACACCTGAACCAGGCCAACAATGAGCGGCTGGGCAGCATGTCATTTGTATCTCAAGATATGTAAGCATCCCGTCCCGGACCTCATGGGCCATTGAGTTGCTGATCAATAATCCCCATCTTGGTTTCGGCTAGCTCGCGCCTTCACACACACCCCTGATGCCTTTAAACCATTCAGCCCCAGAGATGCGGATCAAGGGAAGCCGACAGTGACCGGAAAGTTCGGCAGCATTCTACAACGTACTATAACCCAGATTCCTATGTTAGTCCTATGAGTCCAATATACTTTATAGTATGAGTTGATATTCTAGAGTCTCGACTTTCATGTACCAGCTGACGCGTGGCCATGGCCTGGCAGGTACAGCGAGGAGGACCTTCGATGCGCAACGCAAGGCTTCGACAAATCCTGCTTACTGGGCTCTGGGTCTTTCGGCCAGGTGTAACTTGGCGAGTCAGACGGCATGCTGGTTCTCGAAGACGCTTCAAATGTACCCGTTCCATGCTTGAGGTATAAGGGGACTATGAATGATGGAACCGAGGTGGCGATCAAGGCACGACTCTTTTTCTATACTGCATGATGTTCTACGAATACTCTACGATACTATAATGTACTATGCCATGCTATGTTATGCTATACTGTACTATACTGTACGGTATTCTACTATATTATATCATATCATACTGTACCACACTTTACTGTGTTAGTGTTGATGTGCACAGTGGCCAGTGCTGCTCCCCTGCAATGCGGGCTCGTCCTTGCTAAGTGGGAGGGAAAAACTAGAGGGTAGAGGTAGAGCAAGCTGAAGTTGGTTTCCACAGTTTCAATATCTGGGCAGGTCCTGCAGGTGCCAGAAGAAGGTGGCTTTGAAGACGAGGTGGGGAACAAGACCTTCCCAAAAATCCTCAGCATGGCTGTGGGTCCTGCCGGTAGAGTCTAGCTCTGCGTGTTTTTGTTAGCTTCGTGCAGTACCTACGTAAGCAAGGTCTCATACAGGCAGCAGCCCACACCATCCTACACCCACAAGGTCGAAAGGCGTCTCAACCGTTGGATGTTTGCTTTTCGACCGGCCAGGTTCGCGTCCTGTCACGTTTCCGACATCCGAACCTCGTAATCCTGATGGGCTTTGCCAGGCAGCTGGGAAGAGGCTAAAAGTTTTTATTCAAGGGGGAAAGTTTCAATTCAGGCATCCGCACAACGGCAGTGCGTGGGTTTGGGATGGACAGAGCCGGAGTGCTAGGCTTGATTCCAATGCTTCAACATGAGCGGCTGTCGATGTCAGGTGCCTGGAGGGCAAGTCAGAAACCACGTGTCGGGAAATGAAGAACATTACCGTGCCCGAGCCAACAAACATGTGCTGCTGCTGCTACTGCTGCTGCTGCTGCTGCCGCTGCTGCTGCTGGAACATGATGATGATGAAGGTGCTGATGTTGCTTCAGCTGTGACTCCGAATACCAAATTCTGGTACTGGTATTCAACCAGGAATACTTAGCTGCCCGACATGCACGGCCCGGCATGGGCAGAGTACAAATTTGATTCGCACGTTGGGGCTGTGTGACGGATCCAGGGAGAGCAACGTCTAGCAGTGCGAGGTGCAAGCCGGTCCACACACACTTTACTCATCATTTCTCGATATTTCTCGCTTTTCGTTTCAAAGCATCAGGTAAGTTTACCTGACGAGCTTCCTCCTTTTTTCAGCTCTAATTTGCTGACCCTCGCGCCGCCCCTATTCTTGTCCGGAGCTGCTGTTTCCACGACTGTCATCCCTCATATTAACTTTCACTTCCGTGGTTCCAATGGCGCTGAGAGCACCCGCTCCTTTTGGGATTCTCAGAGGCACGCCGCCACTGGATGGCGCAGCCTCATCTACGAGCACCTCGGCTCAAGCAGGCTCAGGCAATCTCAAGCATGTAATGGAGAGGTGGAAGTAGTGAAGTACTACCAAGAGTAAGCCTGGCCCAGCAAAGCTACAAGGTTCTGTGCTGGTGGTGATGTGGCACAAAGACTATCACGGAGCCACGTGTTCTGCAAAGACACCTTGTTGTTCATCCGGACCCCAGATGTGAACCAGTGCGCTCCCCAACACAGTAGAGCTTGCGTCCGCTTGCCCCTTTGCTTGAGCGGAAGCAGAGACAGAAGACTCAGCTGGACCGATTGACGTTTGAGTGACCGGCTAAACCATCGCCTTTTGCAACTTGAATAGCTCGGACAAGATCCGTCTTGAACCGGAACCATGGGACAAAAATACCTATTCCCAAAAGCGTGGCGCCCTTTCTGCTTGGCAAAGCAATACTTGAACCCAAGCCCGGACCCCACATATTCACAATAATGATCAGCAGAGCAATCCAACCCCTTGTCTAAGACTAAGACCTCATAAGTTATAAGCTTCAACGACTCCGAGCCCTCAATGCCCAAAATATTTACAGCGGATCGCGACTTTCCAGGTCGGCATCGCAAGGAGCCTCCGCTGGAGGGTTTGGGAGCTTAGAACTCGGAGAAAAGCACAGGGGCGTTGATTCTTGGAGTCGTTGCTACTGGGAATGCTTCAAGATACCCGTGTCGCGAGCCAGCCAAGCACCTTCCAGGTTTTGCGAGCCAAAGGTGTAAGTGGAGGATGCAAAAGAAAAGAAGTGCTTTGGCAGTTGCAGTTACGGGTTCTCGAGTTCGGAGTTCGGAGCGCGGGATGGTGAGGCTTTTGGCCGAGAGTGTTAATTCGGTGCGATTGAGTGAGAAATTTGAATGTCTTGTGCAGCATTCCGGGGCTTCCTAGCCGGAGACGTGGTGGAGGAGCTTTTCGGTGGCCGAGAACGCCTCAGCGCTGCGCTCGACGCGGCTTGCGGGCTCTCACACCTGCACAATATGACCCCAAGGCAGCCAGTGGGAGAGGGAAGCGAAAATCCGAGTGCTAATTACATCCCATGCATGGGCATATGTGTTGCTTGCCGCTTTTGATGCATGCGTCGGTGATGCCTGCTTTCACGAAGCAGGAGTCTTGCAGGACGAGGTGAGCTGTGCATTTACAACCTGGAGTATGCCTTATAGCCTTATGTCTTCACAGTTAAGCCCAGATTCTAGAGTGGAGGCAGCTTTGGCGTCATGGGTTTGAGCTCATCTTGTGAATCTGGTGCAGGGGTTCACCTCAAAAGCTTGCCGCATGCAGGGCCTTTCATCGCGACATCAAGTCGCAGAACATTTTGCAGCCTGTTCGCAAGCATCCATGACAAACTGCTTCGTCATGGCAGAGATTTGATCATTTCGTTGCATCTGACCGCCACTTTCTGCATTGTCAGTTTGGAAGACAAGCCAAGCGGCGCAGTGCCGAAGCGCCATGTCTGCCACGGTTCTTTGATGCTCCCTGAATCATAGAAGCTGCCTGTGCTTGTGGTAGATGCACCCAGCTTCTCGAGGCTGGATAAAAATGGCACGGCCAAAATGGCGGATTTTGGAGCCTCGCCTGCTCAGAGTCTAGAGGGCTCTACTGTATAGGTCAGTGGATGAGTATGAGTATCTGCACAAGAGATGCTCCAAGGGTATGGCAAAATGCCGCATACGACATGAATCTAGATAGACAGACGGACAAATCTCCCGACAAGCTGGGAAGATTTGGGTTTGGGATTTTAGCACTTGCTATAGGGTGAGGGCATCTTTGCAGCCCGTGCCCATCTCTGAGGTCTTGCATGCTTGTCCAGCATCATGGCACGCAATGAGGTGGAAGACAAGCCGTTTTCAAGACAGAGTTGAGATCCAGCGACAGAAGTCAGCACTGCACTGCAGCACCACTGTACTGCCCCACCTGACTCTGATTGCGGACAGTATCGGCTGCACTGCCCGTGCTTCGGCCGAGGTGCTTCGCAGCACAAGGTGCACCGAGTTGGTGGAACTGTGGGCTACGCTTGCCCAGAGTACCTCCGCCCCCTGACTCTAAAGACTTTTCGGTTAGAAATCTGATATCTCAGCCCTTGCCCCCACTTCCCAAAGAGTTCTGCAGCTCGAAGCCTATGGCAGCTCCGCGTCCGTCGCAGCTGAAAACTATGAATCTCTTGCAATAGTCTAGTGCTGCCAGTGTTGCGCTAGTGCTTGGGGGAATTTGTTGGTTTTCGTTTCTTTTGCCCCTTGTGCGCTCACGCTCACTAGCTACTCATGACGAACCGCTAGTTATTGACTGCTGACCACAAATATCAGCCTGACACGCTGCTTAAACCACTGGTATGAGTAATGCTACTATAAAATTGCTGCTGCTACTACTACTACTACTACTACTACTACTGCTGCAATACTATTGCTGCTGCCTCCCTTGCCTATTCCTGCTACGGCTACGGCTGCCACCCCACTACCACTACCCCTACTTCCTGTGTAAGCACCGAAATCCATAGCGTCCCCTTGAGGTACGGGCCTCATCACCGAAGGTGCCGAGGCAGGGTTTGCTTCACAGGGGCTTGAGGCCTTTACGGGTTTTAGGGTCCCGCTGCCTTTCCCACAGGCCTGGATCCTGGATGCAAAGTTTTCTGCCCGGACTCTTAATTAAGTGTCCGGCTGCTTCTTCTGGCTGGCCCTCGCCTTCCCCACAGAAAGGGCCGGTGTTCCCCCTTGTGTAGATCCAATGTGCATCCGGCCCCAGCCGTTACATCTTTTCTGAGATCCAAGAACCTGAAGCTTTAAAGGTCACCACGGTAAAGTACTAGGCCCTACATAGGCTCATAAGCCCTTAACCCTTAACCCGGTAAGGTCTACAGCTTTGGCATGGTGCTTCTTGAGCTGCTCACTGGTGTGCCGCCTGCTATCTGCCGGCCGGGTGGCCAGTCAGGGGAGTACAACTACCTGGTGGCTCGGCAAACATCTGAATGCCATCTTTGCTCCCAGATAGGAGAAGCTATGCTCTTGACGGACATGGAACATCGTTGCAGTACTGCATTCCGAGCCCTGAAGCTTCACGTCACGCTTGGAAGCGGTGCATGAGGCTAGAAAGAAGTGTTGACGCTTCACGATGGATCGACGGTTCAAACTTCGGTTCCCTTCAGGGCACCTGCCAGGGTATTCTTCAAGCACATTCACAAGAAGGATGCATTACAGGGGCTCCGGTGCAGAGCACTTCCTGTTGGGCCCAGCGCAGGTGGATTGGCTGCAAGGAAGAGACCTGACTGCATGTCTCAGCTGGGGCCAGGAACGTCTAGAGCAATGCACCTTTAAAATTTTCGTGGCTTCACGGTCGGTCAATGGTCAGTGTTGCTTATTTGTACGGGTGTCCGAATGTGTCAGTGCAGAAGTATGGCTTCGTGTCTTCGCAAGAACGATGAACAAGACGCGGTGGTGGGTTCGATTTCACGGAAAATGCGCCACTGCTGGCGGGGATTGAGTAAAATACACGACGAGGGAATCACCTTGGAAAGTCCGAACCCTGGAAGCCCTGGTGCGACCGACCTTGCGCTGCCCGCAACACCAGCAGTGTAGGCACGGAAACTGAAAGCCACGGGTTCATGTCGTGCCTACCGGAATGTAGGGTGTGACAAGCCTGCAGAGTCCTCAGATGCAGAAGGGATTGAGGGTCTACCAAAGTGTGAAGTACAGAAATGTCTACGAAAGCCTGAGCATGATGCGAAGTCGAAGCCTGTAACCCCACAGATGCAACAATCCCCCCTCTCCCTACTGTAGCGAAATGCTCGGGATCATGATGGCATTCGCCTAGACCACGGTTGCCGTGATTCCACAGTCAGATAGGTTCTTAGGCCTTAGCAGTACCTTCTCATTACCTGAAAGATCTCGAAGCAACCGCAAGCGGGTGGGTCTTTCGAGGGCCACAAGTCCAAAGCTGAGGTTCGGAGAAAGTCCAGCAGATGCTGGACCAGACTGCAAGCTTTGCCCCGCGCACCGCTGAGGTCCGCACCGGGAATGACCGACGATGGCAGTTGCTACGCTATGCTCCCTTTGTGGGCCCTGATGTGCGACACAACGGATAGCTTGAATTGAAGGGTGTTCCAATTCAGAACAACCCCTGGAGAGTGCAGTGGGTCTTGTTGAATCTGCCATGAGAAAAATCCACGGGATACGCTCTGCAAGTTTCGACGCCACTGGTTTCGCGAGTTTGCCACGGTCTCTGTGTGTTATCTCCGATTTGGAGAGTTCAAAATCTCGTCCAACCTCAGCAGAGGTTGAGAAGTGCACCAAGTCCAAATCGTAGCACTTCTGGGTTTAGGGTTTCGGGTTTAGGGTTTAGGGTGGTACTTAGCCTTGCGCATCTCGCCACGAGTGCGATGTGCTGCGAGGGATTTGGCCGGGCGAGCTCAGTTCAAGCCTGTGGAAAAGGGTGGTTCAGTCTTGGCATGTTGTTTGGTAGGCAATGAGCGAGCTCGCCTTCCGTTGCACTCGCCTTCCGAGACACTTGGGTGGAAATTCCAAGTCTGGGATGCAGGAGTTTATGGTTTACGAGGGTGTGGGTCTATGGAGCGGGTTCCGGAGGAAATCGGACTTCTGTTAACGGGCAAGGACGAAGTGTTTCCTGGCCAGCTGCTGTGACTACCTGCGGACCTACTGTTTTGCTTTGAATTGCAGGCCTCTCGACTGCTGCCCCTAGCTTTACCCTGACCATCATACAAGTACTAGTGCTGCTACATGCTCAGTGCGACAAGGTGCACGGTCAGCCCATCATCCTCTGAAGCCCTCGCTCTGAACAGAGAACCAAGGCCCAACCACCAGACCACTTCTCAATTCATACGGATTCTGGTGCTGATTCGTAGTCCAAAGGCCCATAAGCCTATGTCCAGAACATCCAAGAAGCTGGGAGGTTTGCGATGGGGTAGGTTAGGTTGATGTCCAGCGTATGCCAGCAGCCACCTCCTGAGCTTGTGCGCTTGTTGTGCACTTGTTGGGTGCGCAAGTGTGAACGCTTTGTTGCTGTGCAGCTACAATTTGCAACGAAATGTCTGGCAAATCCCCAATCTCCAACATGCGAGGAGTGCTGACTGAATCGTTTAGATAGATCATCAAGCTGCTCTGCCTCGCCCTACATCCGAACACTCGCATTTCAATGCCACCAGCAGATCCGAAGCCCATTACTTCGGCCCAAAGTCAGACCAACGCCCCGAAGCTTCTTGGATGCTGTCGGTTAAAAGGGGCTCACTGTGCGTTTGAGTATGAACAGAAATCAGGTACGGAGCGGCCTTTGTTTAAGCAGCTGGTCGAGGACTCTTGGCCCCCAGGTGTTGGAGTTGAGGTCGCTGGTTTAGTTATGGTCCATTGTCGTTTGACTAGCTTGAAGGCTGTTTGAAGGTTCAGAAATCGGCCGGTGTATCCGTCAACCTACTTGTGCTTCTTCTGGAGAGAAGCCGAGACTGTGGCCAGCGACGATCAGGATGCAGGCAGCCCTTCATCCACATGGATGTGGCTTTCGACATCCGCTCTCTAGTAGATTCCGCCCTGGTTGCAATTCCGGCTCAAAAGCTGGGAGATGATACCTTTCTCCATCCCTAGAGCCTAGAGCCCATGTTCACACAAAATGTTGTCCAAATCCCTTCCCGAGCTTGCAGCTCTGGTTGCAGAAAAGTCCCGAAAGCAGGGTCAGTTGTTTGCTGCTCGACTGCCATGGAAGTTGGCTGGAGTACAGCTCATGGCCAGCGGCTACATGAGCCCAGGGTCCGGGAGATTTCCTGCAGCCACCATGGCTGCATGACTTCTCTGCAGGTGTATGGCCACACTTCGAAGTTGGAATGCAGCCATAGGGGCATCTCGGTTGCACTCGCTGAAGCTTCGTGCATGCCAAGCCAGCGTTGCGGTCAGAAGATTTTCGCACTTGTATTTTGAGCCGCTGCTTAAACATCCATCACATGATCGGAAAGTTTACCCGGCTTCAATAAGACTCGGCTTCTGCGTCCATAGGCCGTGTTAGACAGTACAGTACAACCCCATGACGACGAAGCTATGTTTTTCAGATCAACAATACTGGTAAGCAGAAAGCTTGGCCTACGGCTCGCTTCGCCGGTAGAGAAGCGGCGGCAACAACAGGGTCATACTTCTCGGCTGCCAGAAGATAGCAGAAGGCCTGCCGTCGACAAGCCCGGTGGGAAGCGGCACTCGTGCTTCTCCAGTCCATGGCCGCGGCAAGGTGCATTGCATCTTCGGGAAATGTTGGAGGTCGTTGCTTCAGCAGGTGCCAGATGCTGTAGGTCTTCAGCAGCCTCCAAAGGGGTACTTGCAGAGGCTAGGAGCTCGTTCAGGCTGCCGCCAGACCTTGTCACTTTCACCGCTGCCGCAGGCGCCTGCGAGGCATCTGCACGCTTGTCTCTTTCAGTGGAGGGGAGGGCTGCTCATCCAATGTTGACTCTGCTAGCGCGGATTCCACCACATGTTTGTTGTGATTCGGACAAGACTGCAGAAACGATGACGCTTGCGACGCACCGGTGGTACCGCTTTGTTCTATACGCACACGTAACTGGTTCTGTTCAAGAATCTACTCCTCATCACGGCATGTGGTGCCAGGCAGCGCGGCACTGGCAGCAAGCTGTAGCACTCCTCGGTGGAAGGTCGCTTCGGGTAAGGTTTTGGGAACTTTGGCCTTTGGGAATTGGGGTGGAGGGGCCTGCGAGGTGCAGCTAGAAGCAGCCGCTACATCCACTCATTTCAAGAGAAGTAAGGATAATGATAATGATTATGAGTCATGAGTTCTTAGAGTAGGAGGGGTGTTTAGAGTAGAAGCAAGAGTAGTCGCCAGAACCTCGTACTGTACTACTTCCAATGCCAGTCATTCAGAATCAGCGGGCTCGCAAGGGCGCAGCTGGACAGCACTGCTTGCACCATGCTCGTCACGGCCTGGGGTCGCAGCGGCAGGTGGCAGCACGCCTTAGCAGTCGCTTGCCGTTCTCTTCAGCTACCCATAGGCCCCTAAGTAGTTCCGTCTTGGGATTACCTTATTTATAGGGTTCTAAGTATAAACCACAAAAAGGAACTACTTAGGGGCCTGTGGGTAGTTCAGCCATCAGCCATAGATGAGATTTAGAAGGGAATGCGCTCCTTCGCTGCGAACCGTCAACCACACCTCTCACCAGCCATCTACCCATTCAGCCAGAGCCAGCCGATCTACACTCCCTTAACTGCCCGATCCTACTGCAAAGTTTCAGGTGTTGGGGCCTGGTGGTGCCGGGCATCGTTGGCGCCTTGGACTCGCGGTGCTCGGGGCAGCCGTGACGGCTGCCGCACGCGGGCGTCGCTGGCGGGAGGCTCTGGTGCGTCGGGGCTTCGTATGGTGAGATTTGTTTTTGGTTTTGGCTCATGTCATTCAAGAAGACTGGTGTGGGGCCGGAGGCGCTGGAGCTGTTGGAAGAAGGCCGGACGGCTGGATGCGAACAAGACGAAGTGGGCGACTTTGCATAGTTCTGCGAGGAAGCTTTCGCCTTTTTTCATTTGCCTTCTTGTGCCAGGCCTTCTATGTTTTGAAGCGCTTTGTAAAGTGCTGTAGATCGGCCGGGGTCATGCGGAGGTTACGGAGCAGCGATGCACGGCTGTGTCCTCGCTCGGCGCTGGCAGCCTGCTTTGGCGCTGCTCTCTGCGATGGGCCGCCGGCGCATTGCGAGTGAGATGGCGGTGAACATCGGGATAGCAGCCTGCGAGGAACGCAATTAAGGCAAAGGTTTGGGGCCTCCAGGTTTTAGGGTTTTCAGGAATGCTGCGAAAGGGCCTATGGATTATTGGGGAAGCTACGGTCTTCTAGAAGGGCTTGCTGTCGCCACTTTGTCCAGGAGGGGCACCAGTGGCAACTCGCCATCAATTTGCTGACGAACCTCTACGTTGCCCGGGTGTGCCGAACAGACACCGTAAATACAGCTGCATCGGCATGTGAGCGAGGACACAAATGGCAGCAAGCATTGCATCTTTTTGAGGAGGCTTTTCATGCTGACGTAGCACCGTCTCTGCTAACGATGGTGGTTATTTTATCGGCTTGTGCCACCGGCAGTTCGTGGGAGCCGGCGCTGTCCTGGTTGTCCAAAGCCCAGAACACAGAGGGCGACCTCGCCACCCAAACCGCTTGCTTGAATGCTGCCATCGCCAGCAGCAGTCGTGCTGCGCAATGGGAGCGTGCTCTCATCACCCTTAAAGGGTCCATAAGCAAGGATGTCATCGGCTACAGCTCTGCTTTGGACGCCTGCCGCTGGGGCTATGCCTGGAGAGGCGCTGCTGTCCTTCTTGCGACTGCGGCCTCAGACCGCGTGGAGCTGGGCGCGGCGGCGTACAGGTCAGCAGTGGAAGGCCTGGAGCATGCGCAGAAGAAAGAGGCGGTGCAGCTGCGGCGTCAGATACTTGTCCGTGCACTGCAGGCCATGCAGGACCCTTGCGACCCAGAGGCCTGGTCTTGGTGGGAGCTTTCGGAGAACTTTGGGTCAACGGACCCTTCTCTCCGAATGTTCCGCAGAGTCCTCTTTGAGAACCTCCTGCCGGCAGGCAAGGATCTCGCTTCGCATCCTGCATCGCTTCCCTGTGCAGTCGTGCGCCGCAGTGTGGAAGAGCTTAAGCAAAGCGGAGCGATGCACAAAAGGCTCCCCCGGGCTTCGCAGGAGAACCTACCCACACCGCTGATGGAAGTCCACAGTGTGTTGGTTCGGAATTCGGAAGACACATACTGTACGGCAGGATCCCGGATCCGTCCTGCTTATAACGAGTCAGCAGAGAAATTCTAAGCAAGGAATGGGAGTGTTTGGGGCCTGCATGGGTCCCCACCATAGTAGGTTCTGGATCTTGTCAGAGAGCGGAGACCGCAGAACCGCACACTTCCCCTCAACTCAAAACTAAGCCGACAGCACACCGAGGCCTCGAATCTCTCGGGATGCCATGGCCTTCAATAGCCTCTGCACAGGCCCCAACTCAAATCTTTGACGTCCAACGCATCAAGCGGGCCCGAAAGAAATTCAGCCTCGGCACCTTGAAAAGCAGACAGAAGTCGACATATCGATGATGACGATTTCGATGATGGTGGCGATGATCATGGCCTCTGAGCAGCCTTACCCGCGTGATGATGCCGCCTCCTGCCTACTGAACGCATACGTCCCTCGAAGAAATCGGCCAAGGAGCTGCGCAAGTTGCTCTCTGCCTTAGCGGAAGTTGGGCGCCCGACGGAGGCCTCGTGACACTTTCTTTAGGCCTTTAGGCTACAGAAGTCGATCTTGACGTGGATCCGGGTCTGAGGTCGCCCCAGCCTGGGGGTGAATTCATCTGCGCACTGCCACTGTGGCTGCTATTCTGTTTCCTCCCTTTCCTCTTGGGCGTCCCTTTGCGTTTCCGGATGGCGAGCATGCATCAGCACATATCCAGCGATGCTGACACTAGGAGTTGGATCTCGACTCGTTTCAGGATGGGCTCCCCGTGCTAAACATAGCTCATGTCCAGTAGGACGATCACCCTCACAATGTTGAGCCTGGCCTTATCGTCCTTGGGAGCCGCAGCTTTGCCGTTATTCCGTAGGGATCGTCAATCGTGTTCTACTCGAATATGCGTCGTGTTTGTAACAGGTCGTTTCGACACCCGCGGTTGCCGCATCTCCGCCGAGCTCGGAGTTGACGCCGCTCCCTGCAAACGGTGTTGGGCCGTTTGGAGACTTCGGGTAGGGGTTTGTGAATATGGAGCTTCTTCAGTACATACCTTTCCACAGAAGCAGAGTTCGGGAAGTGCGGATGACAGAGAAGAGATGCTTCATTGAGAAGGATGATGCTGGCAGCGATGATTGGTTGCGTGTTTTGTCCGATCGTCATCCTGAATCTTGCTGCTGAGCCCGGCTTCAGGCAGGCTTTCGCCAAAGGCACTGCTGTGGAGGCCTACGTCCGGGTACTTAAGAAATACAGGTTCTCGAATGGGTTTCCCCGACTCTTCTCGGCCATGGCCTGCTGGTTTGCCGGGCATGCGAAAGTCGAAGGTGGGTTCAGAGGAATCGCTCCATGAATCTGTGACAGCCCGGGGATCACAGCCAGAACCGCGTACAATGACCAGAACCACGCTTCAACGGGCCATTTACACCATGCCACAACTGCACGGAACTGACGTGGGCTCGTCATCACTGGACAATGCAGCCAGCCACCAAGCTTGAACTTTAGACATACGGTTACCGATATCCAAAGTCACGTGTTCGATCAATCTTTATAGCTTAATCCTCCCTAAGCAACCTCGCTTGTGGGCATTGATCCTAGCCATGCGAGAGGGAAAAAAGTGGTGTGAGGTTCTGTGGGCCGATTCTTCCCCTGCACTCAGTGCATTGTCAATGTGTCTTGTATTCTCTCGGCTAGCACGGTAAGATCACCTGCTTTCGAGCTTTAGCCTGCTTTGGTGTAGCGCATGCATGTTTCTAGTAGAAGAGGGTTGTTTAGCTGTAGGAAGCGCATGCCACGCCGCCAGGCGCCCTTTCGCGGGGGACCGCTATGGTTCCAAGGCCAGGTTTTATCCAGAGGTCGTGCGGTCATGAAAAATATCTGTTCCTTGCGGTTGGCTGCACGGGACTAACATATTGTCTTGCGACCATGGCATTGCAGCAGCTATGCATAGTATAGCAAGCCTGTAAACTTGATGTCGTCGCAGCATCTGCTTACTTCGTAGCTTGGGGTGGAATGTTTTTTTTCAACAGACGGCCTACATGATGCATACTTTCATGTTTAGAATGACCACAGGCTGCAAGGTGAGGTGGGCATGAGGGGACGCGCAATGCAGACCCTGACCAACAAAAACGAACAGTAGACAAGCAGACACACACAGACACGTTCTTGTACCCAACCCACTATGCGATCAAACTGATCAAGTAACCGTATAGATCGTTGCTTTGGCAAGTGCAGGTTTTCCTGGCGTAGTGCAGAACACATGAGACATGATGAGCACAGGCTGAGACGGGGTCGGATGTGCGATGGCATTTTTGCATACGTGCCAACGCAAATGCGCGCACGCACGAACGCGCACGCACGCACGCACGCACACGCACACACACACACACACACGCGCACGCATATACACACTCATGCATCTGTACAGACATGAATGTTTCCATGCATCCATGTGTCCACCCCCCAAATTTTCATCTGTTTGTCTATCAGTTTACTGAAGCTGTTCATCTACGGTACATGCCTGGGGTCAAAACACATTGCGAGCGCATGCAAGCATTTTGTATTTTGTTTACATAAATCTACGCATACATGCCAAGCACATATCACTTCGTGGCATGTCTACTCCATGATGCTGGGCATATGGCATGTGCTGCACCATGCCTGGCACATCTCGCAATGCAGAATGCAACAACTTTTCGGGTTAAAAACCTGGGGCGTATTCTTACCGCACGTCTATCCTGAGAGGATGGGTCGTGAACCACAAGCAGAACGGCATTGCTGTGGTGCGATACAACGACGGCCGGCCACCTAGTGCTTGGTGTCGGGCTTCGTCTCTGTTGTGCTTTTGGACTACCTGTGCAAGAGTCCCAGAACCCTCAGCTTGCGCGTCCTTCCCCGCCTCTCCCATCTCTGCCCGATACAGGCCAGGAAGAAGACGTGCCTTTCGCCAGCCTTCGCGGGGCTCCCGGCGCTTCCTATGTGGCGCCGACGCCGGCAGTGGCCGAGATAGGGCATCCGCAGCTTGGAGGAGTTAAGGTTCGCTGACATGAACTCGGGGATGGAGGGGCAGGCATGGCTACCGAGCCCTGCTTCTAAACAGAGAGTGCTGAGTTACGTAAGGACCCCACTACATTTCTTCGTCAAGACCGTTTCTTGATGCTTCTCAGTCATGTATGTTCCAGTTGAGTTATCTTTGTCTCTTAGGTTCATGATAAGGACACAGCAGTGGCTCTTCGCGATATCGACTGGCACCGAACCCCAAAACTTATCTTGCCGACAGTGGATGCCTTTGACTGAAATCTCAGATCTGCGCCGCCATCGTCTCTGCCTGCCACATTGATTGCCGATGCCGCCAATGGTCTGCTCGTGGCCGCCTCATGATCCAACCGTAAACCCTGTGATTGAACCCGAAATCCCAAACCCTAAACCCCCAAAACCCGAAATCAGCCGCAAGCCCAAAGCCTAAGCGCCAGACCTTGGACCCAGGACCCCAGCCGCTTCGTTTACAACCAATCAAAACGACGTGGTGTTACGTGTTACGAGTTAAGAGAAGACGGCAACAGCACCTGCATATTCTGCAGAGGCAGAGTTACCAGTACCTCTAAGGACTCTAAAGAGAAGCATGGGGGTGAAGAGCGTTTTGGTATCTTGGGTGGCGCGTGGATCCTGTCTGGGCTTACTACGGCGAAGTGTTTTCTGGTCTTGAGCTATTAGCGCTTGATTTGTAGTTGCTTGGGTCATTTTTGTTCGAGCACAAAAGTCGACAACACTATGTCGATGATGTGGCACATCACAGCCAGAGAGGCTCTTAAAGGTGCCAGGCTCAGACCCTTGGCCCAAATCCTCTGGAAGCAACATGGTTAAATTGAGGACTTACTCCTCCCTGAATCCGGGATTGGTCGTCAAACCCTGGGTCACAAAATCGACCCAAGCGCAGTGACCCAATCGTTTGACTTCGCATGACATGAGACGCGCAATGAGACACTGCGACGACATGCGACGACACACTGGGCATCCCCGGTGGAGTGTTGCAGTTCTCCATGCACTGCATATCACTGCTCTTGTTGCCCATGCTTTCCAACGATGAGCCGCTGCAAAGTTGCCCCTCGCTCTCGCTCGCTCTGTCCCCTGCCCTGCATGGCACGCACGGGAAGTTGTCCTGTGTCGTCTTCTAAGTCCATGTCGAAGCTATCCGTTCGCTGTCGCGCTCTCGAAGCATGCCCCGAAGATCAGGTCCCTGCGCGGCCAGCATACCAGCTGAAGTGCGTGTACCCTGGTCAGATGTGATTGCTGAGGGTTCCGGGAAGGTTTCTGTAACGTGAACCGAGCGCATCAGTATGGTACACAGCTGCCAGACACAGCTGGGTACATGCAGGTATGGAAATGCGAGCCCCCTCTGTCAACAGAACAGGGGTGTGTCTGTTGCGCTGTGGATCCTCTTTGCTGCTGCAGCAGGTGGGTCGTCAAGAGTAGTTCCAGTCAGGGAACGCATTCGTAACCCAAGTTTAGAACAAGCCCACGCCCGAAATTCTAAATCCGGTTGGGGCTGGTTCCGGCGAAGGGGCTGAGGAAGGGATTTCCACGGGGCAGGAACCCCTCAGAGGATCACGGCTTCCGATCCACTCTTGTTCGGACACCGTACACAGACTCTTCGCCCGGTTCGTCGAAGCTGTGAGATGTTGACATGTCGTCGTGGGACATGTCTCGGTCTTGCGGCCACACCCTTACTGCAAGAGCTCCAGGTATGCCGAGGGGGTCGCCTTGAGCGCGTTGCCGGAAGTGTCAAGTCCTCAGAGGAGAACATTGTGAGGCTTGTGGTGCGAAGGACAAAATCGTGTTTCTCGAGATAGTTCGGCATTCGTACTTCGCGAACCAATTAGACAGTGCAGGCGACAAACATCTCAAGGATTGGGCAGGTCAACATTGTGATTTGGGCTTTCGAAGTGAGACGCTGGGGCGGTCGCATCTTTTGAGTTGCCGCGACTACTACCACCACGACGGTGATGGCGATCATGATGATTGCGATGATGATGGTGGTGAAGATGAAGACTACCACTGCAACTCATCGCGCCACCCCAAACCATCCATCATAGCCAAGCCCATAGCCTCCCATAGCTATCAATTTTGCGGGTGTGCAAACGCTTTGCAGGCTGCACGCGTGTAAAAAGGTGCGTTTACGACGGTGCCCTAACCCAGGCACCGCGCGGTGGCTGCCCAGAGCTCGGAGCTCGTGATTGGCCGTATGGTGCAGGCAGCAGACTTCTGGGACGCTCTGGTGCCCGAGCTTCCCGGCTTTGGAGTGCAGAGTAGTGAAAGTTCCCACTTTTTGGCGGTTTTCCTGTGGCAGGCAGGTTCGTGGTTTCAGGTTTGCAGATGCCATGACTATTTCTTTTCGCTCTATTCGGCGCAGCTGATCTGGTCTCCGAGCTTTCGATATGATGGGCTTCCGGTTCTTGGAGTTGGTGTTCAATAGCCGTTGCATGTTCTGACGGGGCACGCAGACTTCAAGACGCTGGTGCACTCCAAGGAAAGACGTGCAGACGAGGCGGGTTCGGGAGCAGCTCACAACCGCAGCGGCGGACAAGGAAGGTTTTTTTTGGCGTCGGGTAGGTAGGTGCATGTCGCTAGTCGATGAGGCTAAGCAGCTAATCTGGGGACCCGCAGATCCCAAAAAGCCTTGCAGGGTGTCTCGGAAGCACTTCAAGCTCTCCTGCCGCATCTTGTCTTTGGGGGACGGCCGCAGCCAACCCGCGACCTGGTTGATTTCAGAAGGCTAGAAGCTAGGGTATTGGGATCCACTTAGGCATTCAGGGGACTGTTGGGTCCTTCTGCGCTCAGACTGCCATGAGTATGTTACGCCGAGGCCTGGTTCGTGTGACGAGGCAGCAGTAGTTTGTCGGCTCTTGTGCCTTTGCGGTGCTGGCATCGTGGTTCCGCTATCTCACGGTGGCTTTCTGTTCAGAACCTGTGCCATTGCCGGAAGTGGTAACGGAGCCGAGTGCGAAGTTCCATCCGCTACTGCCGCAGTGAGCCACGCCCAGAAACCCCGGCCCACCAGGCGCTAGGCCCTACTCAGCCCGAAACGACCTCTCCTCTGCTCGGATTCAGATTTGGCAGTCTCGGTTTTGTTTTTTTTTGCCTCAGCTGCCACGCACCAAGCCCAGGAGCTGCTTGTCCCGAAATGGGCTCCTGGTGAACGGAAGTTATGTGGGACCTGATGCGGAGCAGCGGACGCTTTAAAGAACGAGAGGTTTGGTAAGGCAGCTCATCCTGAAGCCATGAAGCATTGGCCCTTGTGTTTTGCTAGTCTCTAGCTCAGTTGTGTAAGATGCACCATCCACCCAAATGGCATATTTATTTCGATTTTTGACGTTCTGCACTTTCTCATCCGGACTGTGACAATGGGTTCATGGGCGTAGCCGTTCAAGGGCCTTTACACTCCACAGTCACCGCCACCACGACGATGCCGACTGCTGCTGCTGCTGCCGCTGCGGTTGCTGCTACACTGCACCGGCAACAGCTAACACCAACAACTAACTACTGCTACTACTGTTACTGGTACTGTTGCTGCTACACTGCTACTACGGCTGCTGCTGCTGCTGCTGCTGCTGCTGCTGCTGCTGCTGCTCCTGCTACTGCTTCTGCTACTGCTGCTACTACTACTACTACTACTACTACTCCTACTACTCCTGCTACTCCTGCTGCTGCTGCTGCTTCTGCTGCTACTACTATTGCTACTACTGCTACTGCTGCTCCTACTGCCACTGCTACTGCTACTACCCGGTGCTACGACACACGAGGGGCTGCAAGCAATGAAGTACTACAAGTACCACAAGTATTGCTAATGTGGAAGGAACGTTTTGAGAATGGGGATTCGCGATGATGGTCTTACTAGATCTTACTAGAGTGTTGACCGCAACAGCGAGAAACAACAGCACTGACACCCCCACCCACAGCCATATTGATGACGGCAGTGGCAGGCATTGTCAAGAAATGATTGGCCACAAGCCAAAACTACCATCTCGATAGTGACAGACCTGATCATCAAATATTCGTACTGAGTGTAGGCGCTCGCCACGCATGCCGCAAAAACAGCAGCAGAAACAACACCAGCAACAAATATGAAGAGGAGAAGAGATACTCTTCCCAACAGCCACGCGAGGATCGAGCACGGTGCTCAACTGGGGCTTGGTGTTGAAACTCTTGCGCCTAGCAAGTCGCAGCCCGACGCCCGGCAAAGTTCAATCCCACTTCTCTTGTTGTTGGAGTGCTGACATGGTCGGCTGGACTTGGGGGTTTCAGGATCGACAGCTTGTCACAGAACACCTGCTCTCAGGAGAAGTTACAGAAGATTTCCGAGCGAGTCTGTAGCAGTAGGGGCAGGCCTCTGGCAAGCCGTGCCGCACCGATGAGGCGAGTATGGCGTCTGTGGCCACAGCGGCAGCATGGCGGCCTCCGGCTGTGAAGCCTTTCTTAGTCTTCGAACTGGAGGTTGGCCGGGCTGTAGCCCATGTCCTTGCCGGATGATCTTGTCTCAATCGCGGTTGTAGCTTCTGCAGCTGGAGCAGCTGCGAGGTGCTAGACCAGACACAGAGGGCAGATCCCAAGACGATCATGCCGGTGGTGCCTTGGCAGACGTTAGGACCGTTAGGACTGCAGGACATCTGGAAGACGATGTCGACATTCAGATGTTTGGTTTCTCTGTGGTTGTGCCGAGTTAGTAGTTCTTTGTCGTCGTCGTAGTAGTACTGGTGGCAGTGGTTTAGGTTTAGTCGTGGTGGGGGTGGTGGGGGTGGGCGTGGGGGTAGGGGTGGGGGTCGGGGTGGGGGTGGAGGTGGGGGTGGTGGCCGTGGTCATGGTCGTAATCACGTCGTAGTCGTAGTCGTCGCCGTCGTTGTGGTAGTCGTACTGGTGCTGGAAGTGGTAGTGGTAGTGGCGGTAGTGGGTAGTAAGTAGTAGTGGTAGAAGAAGAAGAAGTAGTAGTAGTCGTCGTCGTAGTCGTATTTGTAGTCGTAGTCGTCGTCGTCGTCGTCGTAGTAGTAGTAGTAGTAGTAGTAAGGATCGAGGTGCGCTGAGCGCCGGGGTGCGGGTCCCGTCAGAACACCGTAGCCGCGAAGCGAGTTCTTCTTGCTGCGTCCGGAAGAAGTAGTAGTAGTAGTAGTAGTAGTAGTAGCAGCAAGTAGTAAGTAGTAAGTAGTAAGTAGTAAGTAGCAAGTAGCAGGTAGCAGGTAGCAGGTAGCAGGTAGCAGGTAGCAAGTAGCAAGTAGCAAGTAGCAAGTAGCAAGTAGCAAGTAGTAAGTAGTAAGTAGTAAGTAGTAAGCAGTAAGCAGTAAGGAGTAAGGAGTAAGGAGTAAGTAGTAAGTAGTAA